AAGAATACATAATGGAAGAGTTTCAATTTTTAAAAAAATATTCTTCGTCCTGAGGTATACAGTATGTGTGTATGTGAGAGTTAATTGTGGCAAAGTGATTAAGGATTATTTATTTATTAGTATTAAAGAACACAGGAAGTCTTAAAAATTTAGGTTATACTGCTGCCTGCAAGATAATTGGACACAGGCAAACAACATGCCTCCATTTTGTTGAAACCTAACCTACTTTTATAGATTTTTTTCTTCAACCAAAGCTCTTCTCTACATCATTGCTAGAGCTAGTCTCTGGCGTGGCTGTCCTCATCCTAACTTTTGGATTGTTACGTCCAGACCATACTGGACTTCCCATTGCGGGATTAGCCTGGAAGTGACCTTCGGTCACTGAGTTCCACATAAGGCAATTTCCAGACCCTGTTTTCGTAACAAGTTAGCCACAAGGCACTTTCAAGATCCATAGCGATTGGCATTGCCTCAGCGTAGGCCAATCAGGCTGAGCAAAGGCGCTACCTCATTCGGATCTTTGGGCACTTTTAAAATACCTTATTACTGCCAGTTCCTGCCATAGAAGACATTACCACTGATGGACTAAGCACTGACGAGATGCGCTGGGTGGAGTGTCACGCATGTGCACACTCCCTCTTGCCATTCATCACCAAGGAAGCATCACTCGCCTGCTGCTCCTGCACTGCATAAAGCCACATGGAACTCTGATCTGTTGGTATGTTCCAGCTGTCTGCCTACAATCACCTCCGGACATCTGAACCTTACCTGCTACCAGTTATTGACCTTACCTTGTACCCTGAGTTTTATGTTGCCTTATCACCTCACAGCGACAACATGTCAGATTTGAGTCATGTAGGACTTTATGGCTCAAATCACCCAGTTATTGTCTAACTCTAATTCTGAGTCACTCAAATCCTTGCCGGATGAGCTTTCCTCTGAGGAGTTGTAGTCTTCTGCCATTACTTTTAAACTGAAAGAAGACCATTTTGGCTTTTTAATGTGGTGCACACCACCCTGAAACCAGAGGATCAGCCTGTTGCTTCTACCAATGTTGTTCCATCTTGGGTCCTTCTGAGCCCCTAAGACTGCCAACAGTGGCGGAACTACCGCCAGTGCTCCGGCACCGGGGCCTCAGCCTGGGGGGCCCAGCAAGTCCCTGTGCATAGATGGTGGGACTTGCCGGCCGCCGGATATGGGCTGCGGAGATGTGACTTTTCTAGTTTTGCAGAAGGACAGAAGGTTTAGAACTTCCTTGGTGCCTAAGGTAGTTTCTGCCTTTACCTCAACCAGGACATAGTTCTTCTGTCCCTCTATCCAGCTCCAATTCATCGAATGAAGAGTTCCTTCCATTATCTGGGTTTAGCTTGGAACATGACAGTCTATCTTTGAGACACTGTTTACTTCAGAAAGACTGATTCCTTATAGGGACACAGGTCCCACCCCTCTATTTGTGACCATGCTCTCGATATTGCTTTGCTACAATACTTGACTACAGTTTTTTTAATTGCTAGCATCCAATGCCCCCTGTAGGTGGCAGTATAACCTGAAGGTTTAGGACTTCCTTGTCCCTCAATGGACTCCAAGAGATGGGTTTTACAGTGAGTATAAAAAAAAACCTAGTTTTGTAGCTACAAGGACTACAGTATATGGGCCCAGTGTATACTGTGAGCAGGTTCATATTCTATTCAACCATGCCCCTTCAAACCACACCCAATATTAGGCACAATTTAGCTATGTCCATTCTTCAGTGAGGCACAGAGGGCATCAAGGTGTCCCTAATTCTTGTGTTCAAAATTTGGGAGGGGGGTTATGTATAACATCAAATATTCATCTATGATAACATATTCTTGAAAACTATGCAACACTCCCAAAATTGAAGTGCGCACGACATGGGCACACAGTGCCTAGTTAGAAAATACAAACTGCAACTGCAGCCAAAACGTTTTGTTTTGGAAAAGGTGGAGAGTGCTTAGGCCTCTTTCACAATGACATTCCTGCGTTTAGCTTTTCTAAACGCAGCAGAATTTATTTGGCAAGTATAAACAACGTTTATGCTTCCTAGGTCCCTTTTTGCTGCGTTTAGGTTAGGGATGCACCAATACTGATACTGGTATCAGTATTGATATTGAGTATTTGGGTGAGTACTCGTACTCGCCCAAATGCTCCAATGCCTAGCCTGATACCTGAGCTTCCAGTATCGGGAAGCGAGGCAGCGAGTCATTATATGCTGCCCGGCTTCCTGATTGGCCGGGAAGCCGGCTCCATGCTCCCTCATCACTTGATGCTGGCCAGGGAGTCATTACCCGTCCCCCGGCTTCCTGATTGGTCACCTGGTGACGAGGGAGCATGAAGACAGCTTCCCAGCTAATTCGGAAGCCAGGTGGTGAATCTTTACATGCCGTCCGGCTTCATGGCTAATCAGGAAGCCAGGTGGCGAGTCATTACACGCCGCTTGGCTTTCTTAATGGGACTTCCGGTATCGGCGAGTACAGAAAAAATATATCGGAACTCGTACTCGATACCGAAAAAACGGTATCGGTGCATCCCTAGTTTAGGTGTTCCTGCATAAAGCTGCATTTAGACACATATATGTGCATTTACATGCATTACTCCGCATTGAGGGCTTGTTTCCACTAGCCCCTGCGCTGGTCGCACTGTCCTGTGCCCGGAACACAAAATCTCCCTGCATTTTGGGGCAGGATGGGGCGTAGCAGTGTCATTCATGTCAATGGCACTGCAGACACGCCCCCCTGCCCGCAGTGCGATCAGCTAAACAGGACCGTGTAGTAATAAAATGGCCTGCATTCCAGTGAGGTACGATCGCAAAAAATAGTGCATGCAGGTTTGCAGTGCCATTGACATTAATGGTACTGCCATGCCCCCTCCCACCCCAGAACGCAAGGAGACTTTGTGTATGTGATCCCTTGCGTTCCGGGCTTGGGAGAGTGCGATGAGCGCACGGGCTGGTGGAAACAAGTGTCCCTAATCAAATCCTGGATGCACAAAATCCTATTTTCTCTAAACGCAGTCTGAACATAAATTAGATGCATTTATAAATGTGTTTTAAATGCATACAAACGCAGGTTTGACACTTGCAGTGTGAATTCGGCCCAACAACACCTGTCAGTTTTTTTATTGCAGTCTGTGTCTCTGTTTGGGAGATTCACCCTATTTGTTCTAATGGCTGATATCAAGGAAATGTAAAGCAAAAAAAAAAAAATGTTTTTAGTTGTCAAGGGAAACCTTCCAGTTACTAGTTCTGGTGACAATTGTCTAAGAGGGGATTGCTATCATTATGGACACAACTTCCTCTTGTGGCTGCCAGACAGGAAGTGAAAGGAAATCTCACCAGTATCCCACAAAGAGGAAAAACCTAACAGGAGTTTAACCCTCCCCTACTCTTGCCAAATAAAAAGCTTGGGTTTAGTTCTGCTTTAATATATAAAGTTAACAGATGAAAAATGATAAGTGGCGATAAGACTCCAGAAATGTAAATCCAGTCCACACAAGTACTAGTGATGCTGGCTCAGACGTCTGTGCTTAGTGTAGGAGGCCTAGCAGGCTGTGTGCTATGTGTGGCGCTGCCTCTAGGTGTCCGGGAGAGAAGACTCTGACTTCATGTTTATGTATTGCTAGAAGTCAGTCAGCACAGAGAAGCAAGTGCAGCTACATTCTTGCGTGATCCCTAGTTGTCAGTGTGAGGTGTTCCAGTGCTGTGTGGTGACCGAGCCATTGTCCGTCATGTGACATCTTATCATGTCTCCTCATGCGTCTTTCCACACAGCCCTGGCCCAATATGAGTTATGTTCAAAGCTGGTGATGTTCACACTGGAGGAGACAACGTTTGTAAACGAATAACCGTGAGGAAACGCTTAGGGGCTTTTTTTGCACGCTCCGAGCGCTGTTCTCGGACATATTGGAAGGCAATAATAATAATAAAGGGAAGGCAGGCCGCGCCCGGGCCGCCATTTTGATATTGTCTGTGCTCTGGTTCACGGCCTGTTATGACAGTCCAGATGTTTCTAAGGGAGTGGAGGGGGTCAGACACCGAGCACATTTTAGGAGACAAATGCCCGTTCAGAGTTTAGTGGTGGCAGTGTTGTGTCCACCCGGGTAGTATCCTCCTGCTCATGGAGGAGGAGGCTCACAAGATGGAGACAGTGGGGGCAGGGCTGTGAGTGACAGGGGCAGTGTTATGACGTGAGGGGTGATGGGGAACCGGTGGCTGAGCGTTATGTTTACTGCCAGAGACTCTAGTTTTTTTATTTTTCTCTCAGGCTTTGTAGTGACGCGGGCATCATCCATGTTGTCTGCCCACCATGTTTGCTGGGTGCACGGGGCCTATGTGTGAGCCCACAGGAGGGGTGTCCTGAGTCTGTGGGGAGGGTACAAAGCATCTATACTGTGTCACCGAGCATTCTCCACACAAACTCTCCTGTGTGCTCCCTCACTGCTCATGTCAGCTGACACGAATGGCTGAACACAGTGGAGGAGCCGATAGCAACCACCCAGGTCACTGTAATCAAATATGGTTACTGCACTCTGCCCGTGTGTGTCAGTTTCTGAAGTAACCATGTGCCAGCTCCATCCCAAAAGGCATGACGTGGTTGCCAAGGGCAACAGCAGACACTATATTCGTGAGGGTCAGCAGCAATATTGAATGCATATGGCACTGCAGAGCAGTAACCCATAGCAACAAGACTGAGCTGTTGTGGTCAGAACCGGAAGTAAATTGTCATTGGTGGCTGAGAGCCTTTGCTCTTTGTATTGTGTGTAAATAGCAGTAAGCAGGTGAGTGCCCGGCTCGTGTCTTTGACTGTGCTGTCAATCATCGCTTCTCAATGCCAGCTGCTTGCCCATTCCCACAGCACCAGCCAGGGGTAAATCTGCACCCCCTAAGTGCCCTGACCCTATAAGTAGATGCTCAGTACTGCCCTCCCACCCATTGCATGCCTTGTACACTCCCCCCAACACATAGCAGCACATTGCCCTTTCAGACAAACCCCGGGATTGCAGGCTCAACCCTACCGACAGGCTGCAACGTCCCCCCCACCTTCAGCAAGTACCCCAGCACCCTCTTCTCTGCGGCCTCCCCTCCCCCACGCAGGCTCCGCACGCCTCCTCTGGTGTAGCGAGGCACTGCGTGCTGTGCGGTCGGGGGGAGGCAGTGCAGACCGCCGCGGGCTCCGGGCCTAGCGCTGTGTGTGTGTGATGAGGGGCAGGCGCACGGTAAGGCCGGGGCAACAGCAACTTCCATCTTTGCACCATTTGTATTATGGCACTGCACAGGGGGAGGGAGAGTCATGATCGGCTCTTTTTTTATTTTATTTTACACTAATACATGAGAGCCTGAGCAGATTTCTTTCTCCATGCTGACCTCCACGTTCCACGGCTGCGATCACCCCCCCTCCCCGGCACCGGGATCTGCTCTCTGCACATTGGTACCAACTGATCGCTTGGCGCTTTTTGCTGATTGCATGCGTTGGGGAAGCCGGGGGCTGTATGTGCATGTTTACATCTTCCAGGCTATGGCCAGGGCTGTGCAACCAGGGACAAAGCCGGTACACAAGGCTCTTAGCATTACTTAACCTGTGTGCTGCTGGACGGGATGGGGGGGAACTCATTCAATGTTTTTGTATTTCATATCCTGACCTGTGTTCACATGGTATGATTGGTGGGGGGAGGAGGGATCTTGGATCTTTTTAATTTAATCTGAACCCATAGATCGTGCCCCCCCCCCCTTTTCAGCATTCACTCCACGGCCAGGGAGGGACTGGAAGTGTGTGTGCACACCGGCACAGCCAGACATTTGCCTGCTAGTGTAGGCCTCTGCTGCTGGCTGCCATTTTGGCCAGAGGACAAAATTCACTGTGTACCCATTGCTGACAATCCAGTCTGGCTTGATGACTTTGAAACCTTGGCTCTTGCATTTGTTTCTTGTATCTGCAGTGTTGCATGGATGCTTGGACTTGACAAGCTGCAGGAACTCTAGCTACCTACATGGTTACATTGTTTTTCTCTCCTCTAGTTGCTGCAAACCACTAATGGCGTATTTATTTCTTCAGGTTAGTGCCTGCACAGGATGGATGAAGCCTGTGATCTAGACAGGCTCGGCAGTGGCCGCCTGACCTATTTTAACTCCTTGGATCCAAATGCCCAGCACAAACGGTACGCGGTGGATCGAAGTATGCTGGAGCCAGTGAACGGGTGCCCAGTGCCGCGCAATCAGCTGCCGCAGACTAACCCGCAGGGTTATAGTCAAGAATCTTCTTCCGATTACAATCCGCTGCGGCGGCTCCAAGACATCGCCTCCATGATGAATATGGACGGCGTGAACGGATCGCACAATAGGGACAGGCGAGCGTCCGAACCGAGTCCGCAGCCTTACTTTTATAATCAGAGCGAACCACCAATTCATCCCACAGGAGCAGATCCTTCACGCCACTATACACCAGACATTCCTTTGAAATCCTGTAAACCTTTAAAAAATGGAATGCACCCCTTTAATACGTTTTGTCATGTGGAACCAGAATATAACATGGAACATCTAAATTACGGACTGGAGGAATCTGGCTTTGGTATGCATTTGCCTGTTTACAGACAACACCCCCCGGCATTGGAAAATATTGGGGCGGCTACATCAAAAATAAGTGCACCTCCAGACTTTGGAGCAGATTTGGAGGATTTGGTCCAGCTAGATTGGGCTAACGATGGTGAAAATCAAATGGAAAATAAACCTCTTCCGAGAAAAACGTCTTTCTTAGCAATGATCCAAGATTCTGAAATATCAAATGGAACCCACTCAAGTACAATTTCAGACACTCTTTTAGATGGTGGAATGGAAGAAAGTCCACCATCACAGGTGGATAATAGACTAAGCGGGCAAGGGCCCCTTTCCATAATAAGTCCAGAAGAAAAGTCCTTGTCTCTGGAAGATGAGCTGGAAGATTTTGATACTAGTCATGAACTTTCTCCAAACTCCTCGGAATTACAAGTTGTAAGCACAGTTTGTTTGTTTTTTGGGAGTCACACAGTTACTAAAGAATCTAAACAAGATTTCAATTTCTCTATTTTAGTGCTCAGTTTAATGGGAATTTAGATGTGATGGCCCATACAAAATGGAGTCTTAAAGCTGAATTCCCACACTTTGTCCTCTGTTGGTGCAAAGGAAAACCTTCAGCATGATTGGTTTTTCTGTCCACGGAAGCCTGACTAAAAAGTGTCATGGTTTGTTTTTGTTGTTGTAACTGGTCATATGACCATGGTAGTAGTGTTCTACAATGTAGTTTCTTCAGCTTGGCCTAATAAAGGGCTGGGAAAATCCTTGAAAGTCGGTGTGCCAGCTATCGTTTTCCCCCCCTACAAAAGCGTCTCTGGCACTTAGATTGACTGGCCACCTCTGCCAGAGAGCACTCATCTCTGGCTCCTAGATTGACTGGCCACCTCTGCATTAGTTGAAATATGTAGCCATATATACTTTTTGTTGTACCTAGATCGGTGGATTTTTTTTTTTTTTTAAGGGCTTGTTCACACGGTCTTTAGTAACGTCTTTCAGCTCGTGCAGCATCTTGCACAAACAAACTCCCCTTTTTCCTCTTGTTCACACTACAGCGCATGTTGGCATGTTCATA